AAAACAAAGCAAAGGTCTGAATTATTTCACTCTGTGTGGGATGAATCCAGAATCTTTCTGTGATCTTCAGACTGAGATGCGCCTGCGTTTCACTGACCCTGATTTTCCAGGGGAAGACTTCATGTAATGAATCACTGTGTAGAAACCTGATGTGTGTTTCTGAAAGCCGTCACGTGAGCTGTTCAAACATCAGAGCGCTAGGCGTGACGCAGCGTAAACAGGAAGTGGCTGTGATAGCACTGCTAGCTGCTGTGGTTATCAGCTCCATCTGATCCACCCAGGAAACACACAGAAACACTCACACAGGTCCTGGAAAAGACCTGGAAAAGACCTGGGATACTAATACAGCTTCCAAACTTTAGTTTAAAGGTTATAAAAATCCGAAGTCCTGATTAATGAAGAAACATCGTCTGCGCAGACACATTCACAGACAGAACAGCTCAATCCAAGGATCCAAGGACCTGCCTTGGACACCAAGGAGAGGCTTTAAGGATTTAAGGGTCTCTTAACATAACAAGTTTAAAGAGTTCTGCTCTCTGGTTTCCAGATGTAGCTGCAGCGCTTTGAAAAGTACAATCTAAATATAAAATAATGTTCAATTCAATTCAATTTATTTATATAGCACCAAATCACAACAACAGTTATCTCACAGCGCTTTTCATAAAAGAGCAGGTCTAGACCGTACTCTGTGATGATATTTACAGAAGCCCAACAGTTCCCACCAAATGTCAACCATCTAATTTAACTCAGTTCAGCGGTTTGAAGTACTTGTACTTTACTTGAGTATTTTCTCCTTCTCCTCCCTCTCAGATATTTTTACTTCTCTACGTTTATCCGACAACTTCAGTTAAAGTCAGAAAAATCTGAAAACTGCATCAGTTTACAAAGTTGAGCCGCCAGGATCTTTATGTGAAGATTTGCTGCTTTTCTTTGAATTACTTTAACTGATTTCGTGCTGCTGGTCAGAGAGAAGGAACTCTGTGACGTGTTTTTTCACAGTGTTTACAGCCGATTCATGGAGAAAATAATCAGCAGATTCATCCAGAATGAAAAGAATCATTAGCTGCAGTCTGATACTAAATAGTTCAAATGAGCCTCAACAATCAGAGCTTTCCGTTAACGAGGAGGAGGAAGAAGAATCTAACAGGACAGTGTGTACTTTCACTTTGAATACTTTAAGTACATTTTCCTGATTATACTCACATGCTTTTACTGCAGTAACATTTACTTTTACTTGTAACAGAGTATTTTTACAGCGTGGTATTAGATCTGAATACTTCATAAGTTCATGGCTGCAGTTATTCAGAAGCACACACATTCATATCTGTCCTCAGATAAACAATAACGAGAGATTCTACCTGTGGGGAAGCAGCTGAGCTCGTCTTCATCACCATCATCATCATCAGAGACACAAACAGCAGCTTCAAACTCCGACAGGACTCCATGATGTCTGTCCTCCCTGAGCCTCTCAGCTGATCTGTGGTCAGTCTGTGTCTGTCCTGCTTTTCAGCCTCCCAGTCGACCCCCCCCCCCCCCCCCTTGTGTTTCCTGAACTTTTCCTGCTGACTCAGACGTTTTTTGACACTCAGGAACTTTCAGACGGACGTCAGGTTTGTAAATCTGAATGTCTTTGAGCTCACTTTCTGCCAACGTCTTTTAGAAAAAGAAAAGTTCAAACTAAAAGAAACGCAGAGTTTTAAACATCTCTCTGCCTTCAGAGCTTCATGTGGTGAGAACGCGTTTTTAATGCAACAATCAAGCAGCTTTAATCAAACACATCACTCCCAAACGCTGTGCAGATCACGGTGGACCACATGTGTCAGGAGGGGGCAGGTGTGGACCAGGTGTGTGTCGGGGGGAGCAGGTGTGGACCGGGGCCTCACCTGGGCGAGGGTGTGGTCTTGCAGAAGGCTGTTTCTTTAGAAGCTGATTGTTGTTCAGGGAAGCGGTCATGGATCTGGTTCCTCACTAAGAAGCAGGAGTCCACCTGGACCCCCTTACCTTCTGTTTCTCCTCCTGAACTCTGAGCTGTAGTGTTCCTCCGTCTCTGTGGGACATCTCATGAACAGGATGTCTTCCCCAAGCCTGTGGAGGACAGAGTATTCACTTACTGTACTACTAAAAGTACTAATACCTCACTGTAAAAGTACTCTATAACAAGTAGCGTTGTAGTACTCGAGCCCGATTTATTTCTTAACATCCAAACTTTGATTGGATGGAAAACGTCTTCAGATGCAACCAGTAAAGCACGTGCTTATGATGTGTGCGTTATCAGCAGATTGCGATGACGGAGCAGAAGGTTTGAGGGAAACGAAAAGAGAGCAGTCCAGGATTTCCTGCCATTCACTGCACTCCCAGACAAAGTGCTGAGCGGCAGGACTAACAGGACGACGCTTCATCATAAATGCTACAGGAGGAGAAGCTGCGGCCTCCAGCCGGACTCCCGCTCAGCTCGTCTCCTGGATCTCTGAAGGAAGTTCAGCTCAGCAGGTCTGGAGCGGTTCAGGTCTTAGTGGAGGTGAACAAACACCTGAGTATTATCGGACTCACAAACAAACACCGCGGCTGTTTTTAATGTTGTTCTTCTGTGATGACGGGGACGGGGAGGACGGGTTTTTTTGGAGACGGTTCAGCCGGATCTGGATACTGGGAGGAAGTTTCTGTGGAGAGAGAAAAGACTTTGCACAGACCAACATGTGTGAGTTGTGGAAACAACACGTGATCCACATGTAACATGAATAAATGTCACACAGCTCAGATATGTTATCTGTTACTCTGTGGTTACTGTGAACTTCCTCTTTGGTCTCGTTTGTTTCTTCTTTCTTAAATAAAAGACAAACAGACTTAAAAACTTGATTTCCTGCATTCTGGAGACATTTTCTGCTCCAATGTCTTAATTTATGGAAAAGGAAACAAAAGTTCTTGAATAGAAAAGTCAAACAGAATAAAGGCAGTGATCAGCTGCACATCAACGCACATTTGTTTCTTCTATATT